TAGATTAAATTAACTAAGATATTCACCACCCTAAAAATTAGTCAAATGCTTGATTGTTTAGACTTTATGCTTCTTTGCATACTCCGCGATGCATCATTCCTAGCTGTGCTTAGAATCATAAAGGCTAACCTGTTTTTAATTATAGTAACGGTTTCATCGGGGTTTCAGCCGATAAGTTATATGGACGTTGCATCGGCTTACAAGGATTACATATAAGTCGGTTTGAGCCAATCGCAACAAAGGTTTTAATGTTTATCTAATCTTGTGGATTTTATGACATCAGACCTCCAGCCGATGTATGCTTTAACCTTTGGATCAGGTCGCTTATTCTATCATATCACTATTAGCTGATTGGTTTCTACCGGATTATATTGTTATTTTGTTACATTACCATCAGCCGATTGTCTTTATATCGTATCTACATTGGACATATAAATGATTGCTCAAAACCCTATTGGCATCGGCTAGTATCAGCATTGACTGGAACTACTCCGTCGGCTTGTCAGCCAATCAGCTATTTGATCTGTTGTTTACATATCTTGTCAGTTGTAGGATCAAACTGGCTGGCACACCCGTATCTTATCAATTTTTGGACCTACACTGGAGCAAAGCAGATCTCCTAGGCCGTTGCTGTTGTCGACTTAGTTCGTGCTAACACAGTTCCGGCACCATCGACCGAGCACGGATTTTTCGTCAATACTTGCTCGTCAAATTTGGGTCGAGTAACCACAACAATGAACATCAAGTATTTGCTCTTAACCTCTCTTTCCGTTCTTGGTTCGACATTATTGGTGAATAGTATTTCTAGTTCTGTCTTGTCCTGTAGAACTATTTTTTTTTATCTGTGTACACATTGCCGTGCATTGGATTGAATTTAAGTTAATTTCTAAAATCAATCCTATATTGTTAAAGGCAATGTTCAATACATGTTCAGATTTGAGAACAAGATGTGTAATACTCCATGTTACAGAACTAATCAAATCACAACAGTTTCGTCCTTAACAATATATGATTGATTTCTGAACTTAATTTAAATTCAAGCTAGTGCGTAACATTGTGTACATTGATGAGAAATAGTTCTATAGGACAATGCAGGACTAGAAATACTATTTCATCAACATTGAACCAAGACCGGAAAGAGGGGTTAAAAGCATATACTTCATAGAGAAGGTGATGTTTCTTGTTGCGGTTACTCGGCCCCGATTTGACAAGCATGGTAGTTGTGTATTTGATGGTGAAATTAGTACCTTTTCCATTGTCTTTTTAGAGCTAGCTAAGAGATCGAGTACAAATAAGGCCCAACGGTATGACATGTACGTGTAGTTTAAAGTTGCCATCTTAATTGATCAAGTTATGCTAAAATTGTTTTTATACTACCATAGGTACCTTGGCAAACCACCAAATGTTCAAAAATCATCCAGGAAAATAATAAGTGTCATCAAGCTTCACGGTTACAACAAGTTTAACACAGATTTTGTTACTCTAGCTCACATCATTAAACTAATAGCAGCAAACAAACAAGTCATCTTCTTCTCTGCAGTAGCAAGCTCGCTACCACTGTTGACTAGGGATGAAAACGGAGTGGATACGGATGGATAATGCTCATACCATATTTGTTTTCATTTTTTTTACCGGATACGAAAATGAATACGGATAGCTTGAATACGGAAACAAATACGGATTATCTTGAATGCAAATAAGAATCGAATATGATCGGACACGAATACGGAAATATTTTTTTCTCAGGACACAAATGCCAACTCAACTTCTAATAGAAACAAATATCAACATATATAATTAGCTCATTTTATATAAAAATGAAGTATAGTTTATAAATATTTTTTAAAATTGAAATAATACTAAAAGTATGGACTAGTGTTAAGAGATAAACTACTATTAAAATCTATAAAGGTATATTAAAGGTTATAGAGTTAGAAAGAAATAGGGTATGACTCATGGCTTCTGCGGATATCCGAATAGTACTGTTCACCGGATATCCGAATTATTATCCGTATCCGACAGAAACCCCAATAACATATCAGTATTCGTATCTGGGAGACAATATCCATATTTGTATAGCTATCCATATCCGAACTATCCGATCCGAAAGGTATCCGTATCAGTTTTTATCCGGAGCAGATGGAAATTATTCACTCCGTTTTCATCCCTACTGTTGATCCTCTTGCACTGGTAACACTTCCCTATCGGTAAATCTAATTGGAGAGGCCTCTCCAGTTAGTCTTAACTAGAGACACCCACGTGCTAGTATTTTAGGAGTTTTGATTGCTATTAATCCATTAAGCAAGTAGGGGAAATATTCATATCATCTATGCTTCAAATAAAATTTTCTCTTAAATTACTCATCCGATTTACAATCCGATTATACCGTTGTGTTCGTAATAATTAAATCTTTACAACAAGATCTCACATTATTATATTTTGATAAAAAATCACAAATTACTTTTATGATACGTCTAACTTACTTTTAGATTTCACTAAGTTACTTCTTAGACATATAAAAGTAAATTAAGTAAAGCCTAAAATTAATTTACATATATTATAGAAGTAACTTATAACAAAACAAAAGTAACTTTAATTAATGCCTTTTTTATTGAACAAATTATCATATATATATATATATATATATATATATATATATATATATATATATATATACGTATATATATATACGTATATATATATACGTATATATATATACGTATATATATATATATATATATATATACGTATATATATATACGTATATATACGTATACGTATATATATATATACGTATATATACGTATATACGTATATATATACGTATATATATATATACGTGTATATATATATATAAGTTATTTTTAGATTTGATTAAAATACTTCCTATACATTCATAATGCTCTAAGGTGATTACTTTTATTATTTTTTTAGTTAATTCCATAATTTATGCTGATTAATTTAATTTCTAGATAGAGCCATGTTTTTATCTCTACAACGGATTTACTTCAAATGACATGCTAAAGTTACTTTCGTTTTGTTCTAAGTTACTTCTATAATATATGTAAATTACTTTTAGCGTGTGTTTGGTTCTGGGACTAGGTGGGATGGGATGAAACCATCCCTGATTTTAGGATTGGGATGATTCCATTCGGGTGTTTGGTTTGTAGAATAGGACGATTCCAGTTTTTTATTTGGTTGAAGGAGCAAGGGAGGGATGGGATGAGCGCCGTTTGCAACCACCGACAACGCCGTTTGCAACAACCATGGTCGACGCCGCCTCTGCTCACCTCCGGACGTGGTCGCCGCCGGCCTCCATGATGGCGTTGATGAGCTTGGTCTGGTCGGGGACATGGGTCGCGCGCACCGCGGAGATGATGGTGTCGGCATCGCAGATGAGCGGGCGGAGGAGCGCGACGACGACGGACGGGATGACCCAACCGAGCGCTGGCTGCGATGGTGTTGGCCTTCGCGCAGAGCAGCTGCGGCTCCGCGACGACGACGGCGACGAGGTCCGCGCGGGAGAGGGAGAGGGAGAGGCCGGTGGAGAGGAGGGCGAGCATGGCCACCATCGCGGTCAGGCGGGCGGAAAAGCGCGACGACGCACGGTCAGCCCGTCGCCGAGTTCCCCGCCGGATCCGTCGCCGCAACCCTCCTCATCGCCGGATCCGCCGCCGCCGCCTTCCCCACCACTGGATCCGCCGCCACCGAGCCCCCCGCCACCACCGTCGCCGAGCACCGCCGACGTCGCCCTAGCCCACCGCCGCCGCTGTCGCCCGAGCCGTCTACCGCCGCTGTCGCTGAGCCTCCCCGCCACCGCCATCGCCGAGCCCACCGCCTCCGGATCCATCACCGCAACCCTCCTCATCGCCGGATCCGCCGCCGCCGCCTTCCCCACCACTGGATCCGCCGCCACCGAGCCCCACGCCACCGCTGTCGCTGAGCCCACCGCCGCCGACGTCGCCCGAGCCCACTGCCGCCGCTGTCGCCCAAGCCGTCTACCGCCGCTGTCGCCGAGCCCACCACCGCCGCCATCGCTGGATCCACCGCCGTCTCTCGAGGATGAGCGCGCGAGCAGGGTAGCGAGCGTGCTAGCTCGTTCACGCCGTTCGCTCGTCCTACCTGGGACGAGTTCGTCCGCCAGTTTTGGCCAGATCGGTTGGTCCCGGATCTGAGAGGAATATTCCTCTCTAGGGACCAACCCATCCCACTCACCCCTAAACCAAACACCTCTAAAAATAGGTTCATCTCATCCCATTCCAGCAACCAAACACTACCTTAGGTTTTACTGAATTTGCTTTTATGAGAGCACGAGCTTTGTGTACGATACCACAATGAGAGCACGAGCGCAACACTCGTCACCGTGGACTTAACCACAACAATCGCACTCATGTGAGACGTCATCCGCTTTGTACTTGAGAATCCGGCACCTGAGTTTTGCTGGCCAGGAACTCCACCATAGCCAACATTGTCGAAATCTTCCACGACCACATTGACCCCATAACATTCGCTCCTAGTTCACATCACGAAGTAGACCATTGGCCATCCCACACAGGCGATGGTAGTAAATGAAGTTGAGTTGTAGAGAAGAAGGGAGAAGCCTTACATGTGTAAAAAAGGGGAGATGAGCATCCGTGATTTATTTATTCAGCCTCCTGACATGCGAACTGAATAACATCGACACTTTCCACATCAATGCATTAACCATGTATGCTGAACCGAGGTTCTACATACAAATCTGCATGCAAATCCCTCCTTGTTTTAGGGCACCTTATAATGATCTTTTAGATGAGCCACCATTAGCCATAAGGACTGGCTACGAGGAATAAAAAATAAAAAACCATTCTTCATCTCTCTCCATCGCAGATCCCTCTCCTACGAGTGCTATGCTGCTGCGGCCTCCTCCTCCTGTGAGCCCCGCTGCTTGCTCAGCCGCCCCCGCCGATGTAGCCTCCTCCCACGAGCTACCACACAGCCGTAGAGTTCCTCCCAAGGGCGCCATGGTCACTGCTTCCACCACCTCTTCCTTCCACGAGGCAACGTAACTATTGCTGGATATGAGCTCTTCCTGGTTGGGATGGTGGGGAAGAAAATACTCTCTCCATCCCAAAATATACGGCACAACCACGTTTCTCTTATGTCTCATAATATAAGGCGTGCATGCATGCATACATTAACTAGCACCTCTTGGTCTAATAAAATTGATCTGTTTTAAATCCTATACCATCAAACCTCCTAATCACATTGCTTACATGCATAAAGGTGATCCAGCCAAGAAGATGATTAAATTAATGTTTTCTTGATCTTTGTGTTATGAGTGGTTGAGCAAATGGAGTAAAGAGGACTAGAGGAGTCATTGGTTGGATGGTAAAAGGTGGGGCACAGCTAACTTAACACTCCCTTACTACTATATACATTGTAAAATACTCTAGATGGTATATAATAGTGGGGTCCACCTAGAACCCACGGTAAGATCCACTTGCACATTGCGCATGCTTGAATTTTTCATTTTGGGTTTTATGCTGACCATATCATATACTCCCTCAATCTCAAAATATAAGCATTTTGACCCTGACACGATCTCCGAGATGCTACTTTGACCATCAATATCTATAAAATTAAGATGTTTTCAATAAAAAGAGTTGCATATTATAATAGTTTGTTTAATGATAAATCTAGTAACATTAATTTTACATGGTTAATCTTTTTTTATTTTTTTGCTATTAATTATTAAAGTTAAAAATGTTTGACTTGACACTATGTTAAAAATGCTTATATTTTGGGACAGGGGAGTAGAAATTTCAATCTACAAAATCCCACTGCATTACCTGGTTTATTAACCGGTTAATGTAAAGAGAGGTTTTACAGTGTTTGCGAGGTACTTAGAGGTATTGAGAGGTGGAGTAATATGGACCGTTGATCAAGAGAGGGGCAAGGTATGGAATAAAATTATCATAACCAATGGCAATGAAGTAATTAACTAGTGAAATATTGCCATTATTGCCGAATTGAATACCTTACTTCGTTGATCGTTACGGTAAGATAGAGAAAATATAAATCTACCTAGGCATTGATTAGATCAACACAGAAAAAAATTAGGTTATGTTTTATTTCTCTTCTCCCACATCGTTTCGTTCTTACTAGGGTTTGAATTGGTTCACTAGAAAAAAAAGGAGGGAGAACTGTCAATATGGTTGAGGATTGAAGCGAGACAAGGTTAGCCGGTCAATGGCAAAGCGAAGCGCATCCGCAAGATTTCATTTACGCAGTTGATTTGTGATTTACATAGCTCACAATTTCATTCATATATAAGAGATTGGAATGAGTTCTCCTCCCCTGTTATTCTTCCAGATTTTGAATTGGTGCACTCGCAAGGAGACACAGTCGTCATGGTTGAGCATCTATGCAATCTACAACGAATATATATCAATGGATATTTGGCATGTGGTGTAGACGTTGTGGCATTGCAGGCCTTCTAAAGTGGCATGCAATCCATGGATGGCATGTATGCACATATATGTCCAATAAATGGACATGCAGGAGGTAGTTTCCATTTTATCAGATGTGAAGTAAATCAAGGAGATGGTTATTTTTAGGTAATATTAAAATCTAAGTGTGTGAATGGTATTATAAAATAAGTTATTTAATTCCATAAGATATATAATTTTTTTAATTAGTGAATTCTACAAAACATATAAATAACGTAACGTATGATTACCGTACGAATCTGTTATTAAGAAAAAAAACGTAAATCTCAAAAAGAACACGCAAACAACATCCTGAAGATAATGACTATACCGATGTGGTACCTATGTACTTATAATTATACCATTCTCTATCTCTTAGAAAATTATCTTTTTACCCTTACTATCTAAGTACATGTGCTAATATTTAAATACCTTTTAAGTGGCACTTTTTATTATGGAGTGTTGGATCATTATCTTTTTTAAATGTAAACACCGTAAAACCTCTCTAATGTAAATCATAGCGAAGCCAAATGGGCTACGGAGAGCAAAGCTACTACAGCGGTACAGATAACGTTTCACTGTGCCAGCGCCCAGCTTGGCACGAGGAGTACCATGCCGTGCCTGACCAAGTTACTTTTTTTTTTCCGGGTTTCTCTGTCTGTTTTTTCCTCAGTTTTTTTTTTTGGTTTTTCTGTTTTTCAGTTCAGTTTTTATACCTACATATACAAAGTTTTTATACATGTATATTTTTTATACATACATATACAAACTTTGTATTCGTGTTCTTTTTTGTTTTTTTATGTTTTGAATATGTACGCATACACATATAAAGTTTGTATACGTGTATATATACTTTTATACACCAAAAGTATAAAAAAATATAATATATATTGTATATATCGATATGCATACATATAAATATTATACTAGAGGAGGTGGGGTCCAAGAAACCCACAGCGCGGTGGGCACGCGACCACCCGCGTAATAGCGTCCTCCCTATTATGTGCACTAAGACCTGTTTAGTTCCAAAGTTTTTGTCCAAATTAACTTCCAATTTTCAACCACAACTTTTCTATCACATCGTATCAATTTCAACCAAACTTCAGCGTGACCTAAACACAACCTCAGATTTAAACTCGCCTTTTTTTTAAGTTCAACTGCGCTGCATGCAGCATGACCTGTATTATTGACTGCATTCATTTCGAGCAGGTACGTTGCTCAATTCTCCCGGGGCCTACATGTCGAGTATGCAGGTAAAGGAATCCATGTGCAATGCCAGGTAATTGACGACCGACCAATCTATAACCTTCTCCTCATTACTGACAGGATCGGATCCGATGAAATTTGCAGCCAAACACACACACACAAACTTGAATAACAATAACAAATTTACGCCAATTATCTTTTATACATGCGCAGGCGCCGTTCTTCGTGGCGACGAGGATGGTGGAAAACCTGGTGGAGGCGAGGCGCCTCTCGCCGTTCACGGCGACCCCGGGCGCCTACGCGCGCGCGGCGGTGGGGTGGATCGGCCGCGGCGGACCGCTCTGCACGCCGAGCGTCCGGCACCAGCTGCTGTGGTGCGCCGCCGCCGCCGCCGCGCCGGACTTCGTTCTCGACTGGATCCTCCTGCGCAGCCACCTGGAGCAGAGGACGTTGCTTTCGGCGGATCAGAGCATCGAGGGCGCCATCTCCGTCTTCGCAGCACAGAGTTGATTCCAGTGCAAAAGGGCACGTAGCCTGATGGGTTACAGTGACCCGAGTAATACTTCAAGATCCAAAATTCAAATTAAGTTCCCAATTAAAAAAACTATATTTATCCTGTTGGATATAAATGTTGAGTAAAATTAAAAAAACAAATTGAGATGAGTGACGACCATCTTACGCTGTACTACATTAAGGTGTGTTTGAGGAGGAGGGGATTGAGGAGATTGGGGAGATTGGAAAGATACGTAAAACGGAGATTGGGGAGATTGGAAAGATACGCAAAACGAGGTGAGCTATTAGCTTATGATTAGTTGAGTATTAACTATTTTAAATTTTAAAAATGGATTAATATGATTTTTTTAAAACAACTTTCCTATAGAGTTTTTTTTGCAAAAAACGTACCGTTTAATAGTTTAGGAAGCGTGCACGCGGAAAACGAGATGTTTTCTCTCTCAATCTCCTGTATCACCCGGGAACGAACGAAGCCTAAGTCTATAAAAGCGAGTCAGCACTCAGCAGTTGCATTGTACTATATATATACACAGTACTAAGCGTACATATCACCTATATTTATATTTACTGTACTTCCTTAATATCAAAATATAATGATTTTTAAGAGTTTTACATGATGATAAAAAAATAGGTGAAATTAAATGAGGAATGTTTGTGATCGGTTAAGATTAGCTACGAGGTGGAAAAATAAACACGGAAGATGATTATGTATTTGTGATTGGCTATAACAAGAGAGTAAGGTGGTGTTTAGATCAGAGACTTAACTTTAGTCCCTGTCTTTAGACACTAATTTAGAGTATTAAATATAGACTACTTACAAAACTAATTACATAAATAAAAGCTAATTCACGAGACAAATTTTTTAAGCCTAATTAATCTATAATTAGAGAATGTTTACTGTAGCATCACATAGGCTAATCATGGATTAATTAGGCTCATTAGATTCGTCTCGCAAATTAGTTCAAGATTATGGATGGGTTTTATTAATAGTCTACGTTTAATATTTATAATTAATTTTCAAACATCCGATGTGATAGGGACTTAAAAGTTTTAGTCCCATCTAAACAGGGCCTAAGTAAAGAGGGGGATAGTTTTACCGTCCTTCTGAAGTACGGCAATTATTTACTACCTCCAGCAAGTACTAGGTAAGTTGAGGTACCAAAATATTTAATGTTTGGTATACTTTCTCCAGTAAAGAAATTGATATTTTGGGATAAATTTTTAACACTAGAAGTTGCTACTCGCTAGCATTTATTTTTTCATGGGGTAATTGCATCCATGCTCCTACTTTCAAAGCCAATTGTTGTTTTATCCCTATTTTTTAGGGTTTACACTTTTACCCTCATTTTTTAATCTGAAGCAGCCATGTACCCCCTCTAACAGTCACAACTAACAAACGACATATATATATACCCTTGGTGGTTATTGCAGTTTTGCCCCCATTTTTTCAGTCTTTTTGTGATTTTGCCCCATTTTTTTTCAGCTTGTGTGAGTGTTATAATGTGAGGCTTTGACCGGCCAAAGCTCGTGCATTCACTCTGAACCCCTAAACTACAGGTCAACGCCTGTCAGTTAATCGAGACTACGATGTTAGTATGCACAATTGATACCACATTTAGTAGTACATAGATAATACAACAGGGTTGTTCTTATTAAAAAAATACAACACGGTTGTGAATTGTTCCAAAATAAAAAAGGTAGTAGCCTCAACCACGCCGGCTGGCCCTCGACGCGACCGCGCGGCCGCCGCCGCCTCGACCACGCCTGCGGCCGCCATTGCCTCGCGCACAGTAGCTGGCACGCGCCCGCCCACGGCCGGCGCCGCTGCCTCGTGCCCGCCGCCTCCGGCTCGCGCGCGCCCAGGGCCGCCGCCTCCGCACCGCGCGCACGCCGCCACCGCCGCCGGTTCGTACCCGCCGCCTCCGCCCCCTCGATCCGCAGCCTCCGCGCCGCGCGTACGCTGCCGCCGCCGCCACCTGGTCTCAATCGGCGCTACGGTTCCAGGAAACCGACGCACGGTGGTGGGAGGAGACTCACTCATCCTATCCATTCCTTTAGGGGTATAAACGTAATATCATATTTCCTAAAACATTTTTTTATTTCCTTTTGTATTTTTTAACACAACATCGTGGGACCCACCAAACGGCTGTTACAACTGAGGGTAGATGGCTGCTTGAAATTCAAAAAGTGAGGGTAAAAGTGCAAACCCTAAAAAGTAGGGGTAAAACAGCAATTGGCTTCGAAAGTGGGGGCATATATGCAATTGTCCCTTTTTTTATTAGCATTTTTTTAAAAATTTGATGAAGTTTATAGAAAAATTTAGCAACATGTACTACACCAAATTTGTTTCATTAAAACTAACATTTAATATATTTTGATAATATATTTATTTTGTATTGAGAATGTTTTTATATTTTAGTACAAACTTGATAAACTTGAAAAAAAAGAGTTAGTACAACTTATAATATAACACGAAGTATAATTTTTAAGCCAACAGAGTAATATTTTTAATATGTGTATTTTAACAGTTTACTTCGGATTTTACCGGGAAACAATGATAGTAAATTTTGTTAAACATGATAAATAATATTTTCACCCTATGTATTACTAAATTGAACATTGGAATCAAAACAACCATGTGCACGGACGACACACACTCTGCTATGTACCTATCTATCCTCTTCTGCCTAATTATCCCTTAAATTTACTCGTGCAATTTGCGGGTAGCTGCTGCGTGCCAATCGGCAGGTAACCGTTCCATGTCCATGTCCATGCCAGACGGCTGATGCGCTAGCCTGCCAGCTCAACGACGAACCGAACGGCCTATGCGCCCGGGCGTCAGCCTAGTGCTCGTTATAAGCATCAACAACAGTCCTTTTATACTACTCCCTTGGTTCTATTTTAAGTATAGCCATGGTTTTCCGCGACCAACTTTAATCATCCGTCTTATTTAATCTTTTTTTAAAAAAAAATTAAAAACATAAGTCACGAGTAAAGTGCTATTCATGTTTTATAATCTCATAACAACAAAAATAGTAATTATAAAAAATTTTCAAATAAGATGGACGATTAAAGTTGGACACGTAAACTCATGGTTGCAGTTAAAATGGGACCGAGGGAGTATCATCGATCCTAATTTTTTAGAATTTTGGTGAAAAAAAATCCTATCTTGATACTATTTTTCTTTTTTGAAAACTCCATCTCCATATTCTTCGCTCTTCATTTGAGGGAGAGCGACCCAAATCCCTATTTTCCGTGAGGTTTTTCTCTTTGTACACGGGGAGAGAAGATCGCGCACTTGGAGAAGCGATATTTTTTTTACACGGGTCAGTGGAAAAACAAATATTTGGTTGGTTGTTCAATAAGAGGGTCCATTTTTAGTTTTTAAGGATTAAATTTAGGCTTTCACTTATAGAAAGAAGTTTTTCTCTTTCTATTTTCAATTTAGAAAACCCAATGATATAATTTTGGGATAGATTATACACATTCCGTTGATGATGCTCTTAATTACATTCAGCTCGACGCTGTCCATTAATCTCCGGAAAATCTTCAGCTTCCGGCACGATCCGTGGTGACCTCGCGATGACAGCGTACAGTAAGTCGTACAGACCAAGCCCGTGGACCGTGGTGTTTGGGGTGGCTCAAGCAGGAGGCCTTGCAGCTGGCTGGGCGTCAAGTTTTAACTAAGGACTCATTCGGAACAAATTAAGGTTTTGGGAGGATTTAAATACGATGGGTGGAATTACTACGAGGTAGGCCTCTCACTAGAGAGGGTACGAGTAACCTATATCTGTACCTAATTTTACTCATAACCATTTCATAATTAGCTTATTCATATCCAATGGGTATGTAAAATCCATGTGGCCCCACATTATTAGAAATGGCTCAAAAACTTGCACAAAGTTGCTTCTCTGTATAATATTTTATTCCTACGAAATTCAACCAAATTTGATAAGCTTTTATAGTGTAAACGCAAGTCTTAAAATTTTGAGACTGAGTTCTACATATATAAAATGGGTATGGATAAAGTGAGTACTACTACCTCCGTTTTACAATGTAAGTCATTCTAGCATTTTTCACATTCATATAGATATATGTCTAGATTCATTAACATCCATATAAATGTGGGAAATGCTAAAATGACTTACATTGTGAAACGAAGGAAGTAATGGGTATTACCCTTCCCTACCCAAAACTAAAATCCTTTCTACCCATACCCTCCCTAAATATATAGTGTGGATAAGAGATCTTTTACAGTGCTTGAAAGGTAACTGAGGTGCCTCCTTAATCAATTAATATCCACCGATAATTCATAAAGCGTCAGTGCTCGGCAACTACCTCAGCACGCTACTCATCAGTCATCGTCACCGCCATATCCACCAGGGGCAGCGGCCTCGGATGGATCCCCGACAACCTCAACCGCGGCCATCTCGACTACTTCTTCTGGCTGCTCACCGTTCTCAATGCTGTCAACTTCGTCGTCTACCTCTGGATTGCCAACTAGTACAGGTGCAAGAGAATCACCACCACTGAAACTGAAACTCAAGCAGCCGCCCAGACTTGAGGGGAGATTACAATCAGAATCAACCGGGAACGTATCGGGGAGGAGCGCTCAAAAGCGGCAACGGCGGGTGCGGCCGCCGTGAGCTCGTGGTCGTCGACGCCTCAGCCTCAGCCACCTCCACCGATGCCTGGAAGTGGAACGGATCGGGAGTTCAGAACGGATCGTACATAAATATACATATATTGAAAAAAAAGAAAATATGCATTTGCCCTTAACCTCATAAATCAATTATGAAACTCAATCTTTTAACCTTCCACTTTTCATATCTGGCCCACCCTTTTAATACCTTTTCCCTTGTACCTTCTCTTTTGGTGCGTTAGATCATTAGAGATCAACCCTACTATGAGGCTGTTGGGAAGAAAGTATTCTCCTTGGACTTCCTTTAAAAGTGTAATTTTATCATCTTAAGAAAATACCATAAGATATCATATTTTCGATATTTTCAAATACACTTGTAAGATTTTGGTCTTATAAGTGCTTTCTCCGTAACAATAAAATTTCTCCCTTTGAAAACCCTAAGCCATTCATTTGGAATTTTGGGGAAAAAGAACAAACACGAGATATTACATATATACTAAAATGAAAGTAAAAAATGACGCCTTATATTTTTAGCAAAACAACCATACAATATATTTACAGCCAGTTGTTGACCCTCTTTACGAACGAATCCAACGTATGAGCCAGAGAGCTCAATGCTCAAACCCTTCTATCCCAGTGGAATCCCATGAAGAGAAGGAGATATGAAAGGTGGAAAAGGACTAGAGGGCTGGAGTAGGAAGAAGATGATAAGCCTCCTCCTCACTAATCCTAGATCCGGCCTGGCCCCTATTTATGCCATCCACCTGCCCTTGTGACAGTGTACCAGTGCGAGTGATCGATCCCAAGTTTCAGTGGTCCGCGTCCTGCCGGTTTTATTTCATTTCAATTCACTGTGACATTAACACACACTACTGCTTCCTACCGTGCCTAATCACACCGCCAAATTATTACTCGTGTGCATTAGTCCGTGCCGCATGCGTTCCGTCATATATTTCCACACTATATATCGCATATATCTGGCCTGTTTGGTGATATAGTTTTGGCGACTCGGCGAGTAACCGTTCCAAATCGCTCTCAACCGCGCCATGGCCGGCTAGACTGCATGCTAATGCTACACATTTATATTGTACAACCCCGCCGGTGGGGAGGAAGAGAGAGCGAGAGAGCGAATCATCATGGCTAGTCATGTCTTCATGATCCGGCAAGAGACGGCGCCGGCGCAGTGGTGGTTCCTCTCGCTGGCTTTCGTCGGCGCCGCCTACGCCGCCACCGTCACGCTCCGTTTCGTCGCCTACCTCGCGCTCTGCCGGTGTCACCGGCCGAAGGACGACCTCCGCCGCCGGTACGGCGAATGGGCCGTCGTCACCGGGCCAACGTCCGGCATCGGCCGTGCCATGGCGCTGGAGCTCGCGCGCCACGGCCTCAACCTCGTGCTCGTCGGCCGTGACCCAGCCATCCTCCGGGAGATCTCCGGCACGGTCAGGTCTCTCCACAAAGTGAAGACCAAGACCGTGGTGTTTGACCTGTCCCTCGTCTGGACCCCCGATGGTGATGAGCCGCTGCGGCGGCTGCGGGAGGCGGTGGAGGGGCTGGACGTCGGGGTGGTGGTGAACAACGCCGGCGTGGCGAAGCCCGGCGCCGTCTACCTGCACGAGGCGGACGTGGAGGCGTGGGTGAGGATGGTGCGGGTGAACATGTCGGCAGTGACGGAGGTGACGGCGGTGGTGCTACCTGGGATGGTGTCGCGGGGTAGGGGCGCCATCGTCAACATCGGCTCGGCTGGGTCGGAGTACATCCCGACCTTACCTCTCTACACCATGTACGCCGCCACCAAACGGTTCGTACACACGTAAAGTGACATGTGTCATAACTTAAAAACACCATACTTTAGATCAGTGGTATTATACTCTTGTGTACATATGAATAGACCATGAGAGTGACCGGCCTGTTCATTTCGATGGAGCAGGTACGTGGCTCAGTTCTCCCGGAGCCTTCACGTCGAGTATGCAAGTAAAGGGATCCATGTGCAGTGCCAGGTAAGTTAATTTATCAGAAATCTGTAAAGAGGCCCTGTTTAGATCTTACTTTAAAATTTTTTATCATGTTACATCGAACGTTTGAACACCTACATGAAATATTAAATATAGGCTAAAAAATAATTAATTATAAAGATTGCGACTAATTCGCGAGACGAATCTTTTAAATCTAATTGCTACATGATTTGACAATGTGGTACTACAGTAAACATTTGCTAATAACGGATTAATTAGACTTAATAATTCATCTCGCGGTTTACTGACGGATTCTGTAATTAGTTTTTATTAGTGCCCGAATACCTTATGCGACACCCTATATAATTAATATCTGATGTGACATATCAAAACTTTACAGCCTTAGATCTAATTAAACACCCCCCATGCATAATTTGTAACTTCCATTTGAGTTTACTCATTGACAGATTATGATGAAATCTGGAAAGCATAAGGGAATCAAATAGCTAGGAGTATGTATGATGCTATGTATGTGCATGCGCGCAGGCGCCGTTCTTCGTGGATACGAGGCTGATGTTCAGGTTCGAGGAGGCGGCGGGCGGCGTATCGCTGTTCACGGTGACCCCTGACGCGTACGCGCGCGCGGCGGTGGCGTGGATCGGCCGCGGCGGCGCGCTGTGCACGCCGGCCGTCCGGCACCAGCTGCTACGGCGCATGGCCGCCGCCGCGCCGGACTCCGTCCACGACTGGATCCTCCTGCGCTTAGCCACCTGGAACAGAAAACGTTGTTTCAGCGGATCTGAGTGACAGATGACAGATTATGTGATGCTAAAGAATTGCCAACAAATAAATAATGTGTCTTCGAAAAGTGCAATTGCCGAGAAATTGTTTGTTGCCCATTTTATGCATATTTGCATACACATAATCGGTTCCGAGATCTAGTATTTTCCCAATTAACTTCTGTTGACAAAATTGGACCATGGTGTAGCGCTGGCGATTGGCGTTTGGTATTGATTTAGTAGTATCAACGAACATAACAACGAGTACTTGCAGAGGAGTCTTAATTATCCCAAATAGTATATATGGGGAGTGTTTGAGAGGAGAGGAAAAGAGAAGATTAAGAAACGAGGTGAGTCATTAACGTATGATTAGTTGAGTATTAACTATTTTAAATTTTAAAAATTGATTAATATGATTTTTTAAAGCAACTTTCCTATGGAAAATTATTGCAAAAAAATACACCGTTCAGTAGTTTGAAAAGCTTGCGCACGGAAAACGACGTGTTTTCTCTCTCAATCTCCCAGGATCGGAAGGTAGTGATCAAGGGGATCGTTTCACTTATCGCGTGATTATCGCGCTTACCGCGCGGGTACGGTAGGGAAACCGGCGATATGGTTTGGAAGAATTTTCACCAAATTCAAAATTCCGGAAAAAAAATTAAAAAAAATTGAAAAAAATCATGGATGTACTTCTTAATTTGTAATTGCCAATGGTAAAGAAATTTTTTGAAATAGAGAAAGCTAGATTCAAATTTGTGGACAAAACCGAAAATAGTTTACAAATTAAAAAAATGAAGAAAATATTGGGCGTTAAGTATCCTACGTATTCTTCCAATTATTCTCAATTTCTAGTTTTCTACACATATTCAACCATAATTTTGATTTTTTTCCCTATTTATTTTTTATTTACATGATTTCAGCTACACAGCTCGTGATAACCGTACGGATATCGCTGTTATCGCGGTAAACCGTGCAATTATCGCGGTGAAACAGCGAAACTGACGAGTTTTGAATTCGAATTTTTGGATGTGATTTTTGTGTGATTTTAGGCGATTATCATGGTTATCGTCCTACCGCGGGGTGGTGGTAACCCTGGTCCAAACGATAAGGTAAACCCTGGGGATCACACATCATGTCCAAGAATTACGGTTCAATGTTCGTTGTGAAAGATCTACATATACCAACATCGGCATAACTTATCAATGAACTATTGGTCGATTTCCAGTGACAACACCGAGTTACGCGTGTGTGATCGACACACGAGGTGTGTGTTTAAGAAAACAGGCACCGTCACGTTCGTGGTGTTTTGTACCGGTGCATCGTTCTTTGAAATTCATGCATACGACGATACTCAGTAATGTGATTTGTCGGAGTGCCGCATATTCACATGGTTTGTGTATCTTTTTTCTGCTACATACTACTACATAATTAGTTTTTATAGGTGGCTGAATTTCCTTTCTAAAGGCGGTTAATAAAACGCCAGTGAAAAAATGAAAATACAAAAGATTCCCGCATGGAGCTGCTATCTGCATATCACAGTCCACACACCACATTGTCCCATTTCCATAGAGAATTAGGATGAAATCACCATAAAACCGTGGAGGATAGGGGTGAAAAATGAGCGGATTCGGACGGATAATAGCTATACCATATCCTAAACCATATTTTTTAAGCGGATGCGGAGCGGGTGCGGATGACGTGCGGATGCGGATGCGGAGCGGATTATTTCGAACGTCGGATTCAGTGCGGAGTCGGTGCGGACTCGGTTCGGAAACGGACAAAAAGTTATCGGATGTTAAGTTTGTATTCAATCCATACAACAAGAGGGCGGCAATACATTTAGCCCCAATACGATGGCAAAACATTATTAGTTCATTGCGTTCAGTTCAATAGTAATAGTATAACAATAAGTAATAAGTGTTCGGTTCAATAGTTCACTAGTAAAAATAATCCAAGATACATCCATGATCCATCAAAAACATAATATAAGTGTTCAGTTCAATAGTTCACCGGTCACTACGTTAAAATGTAAAAATAAAAGTCATCGGCATGAGGCAAGCCATACAGGCATACAACAACAGCAAGCATAGAGCAGTAGAGCACCCCTATGCAGTGGTGCTACACGCAGCATACTGCATACAGGCATACAGCAGTAGTAGTACAGGCGTACAGCACAAAACACACAGCAGTGAGCAGCTAGCAGCCTCCTGCAGCCGGCGGCGGCGCTAGCAGCCTGCAGCCAGCGGCGGCGGCACTAGCCGAGGAGGAGTGGTTGGCGCGTGTTGGGGAGGAAGATCGGCCTGGCGCGTGTTGGGGAGGAGCGGCCACCGCGCAGGGTCGCCGTCACGCCGTGCCACCGCGCTACTCTCTCCGACTCCTCGACTGACAGCTGAGGGACGGCACAGAGAGAGAGCTAGAGACGGATCTGGGGGATGAGGAGAGGATTAGGTTAGGCCAGGTTGGGCTATTGGGCTAGCTAGGTGGGCCTGAAAGTTGTTGTGTGGCCTGAAATTTGCGGATTATCCGCCAAACAGTACATCGGATAATCCGATTAAAATATCGGATAATCCGCATCCGTCGGATATCGTTCATGTCAAAGATAGCATAGTATCTTCTATATTTGGTGATTGAGACACGTATAGAAAGTCCTCTATCACCTTCCTTTTTATGTAATTACATTCCATTCATGTAATCCTGGAATATATTTAATTGAAGATAGCCAGCACGATTGTGCTTGAACTGTGCCAAATCCTCTCCCTGTTTGCTTGGTATCAGAGCAGGTATTCTGCTTCTTCCACCCCAAACTTCCCGATCCCTTCTTCCGCTGCCTCTCCATGGATCATCAGCTCCGTCCCAACAACGAGGCCGCTGCAGCCGCGGGCGCTGCCGCCGGTGCCCCTGCTGGTGGTGCCATCGTCATTCCCGCTGCGGGTGCCGCTGCCGGTGCTGCCGCCGGTGGTGCCGTCGTCGTTCCCCACGGACCTGCAGCAGCAGCACTCACCATCGCTAGTGTCAGGACGCATGTGCCTGTAACCCTAGAGATGAAAAACCACAACTACACCAAGTGGCGTACCTTCTTCGTGGCATTCCTCGGCAAGTTCGCTCTTCTCCTACACATCGTCGGCCCGATCCCCCCCATTCACGATGCCGCCTGGGCCCAAGACGACTTCGCCGTCCTCACCGCCCTCTACTACTCCATCGCCGACGACGTCCTGGACATCATCATGGAGCCCGAGCAGAGCGCTCACGCTCTGTGGCTTGCTGCGGAGGACCTTTTCCGAGACAACAAGGAGACTCGCATCATCTACCTCGAGACCGAATTTCGCAGTCTCAATCAAGGCGACATGACGGTGACGGAGTACTGCCGTCGCCTCAAGACTCTCGCCGACTCCCTCCGCGACCTCGGCGAGCCCGTCACCGACCGCGCACTCGTCCTCAACCTCATCCGTGGTCTCAGTCCCCGCTTCTCCACCCAGGCGGACCTCCTTCCCCTGCAGACGTCGTTCCCCACCTTCGCCCGTGCCCGCTCGGCGCTGCTGCTGGCAGAAATGCGCCACACCGCTGACAGCATCACCACCAACACCACTGCCCTCGTCGCCACCTCCGACTCCTCGTCCGGCGGCCGTTCTTTCTCCAACAATGGGGGTGGAGGAGGAAAAGGGCGCGGGAACGGCAAGGGGAAGCGAACCGGTGGCGGTGGCGGTGGGAGCGGAGGAAGCAGTGGTGGCAACGGCGGATCCGGAGGCCGCAACTCCAACGGCAGTGGCGGTGTTCCTGCCTCGTCTGGCAACCGCGCAGGGGGTGGCGGCGGTGGGGGCGACCAGACCGGGTCTGGTAACCCTCGCCCACCCACTGGACCGTGGGTTGTTTACCCACAGTGGGCCGCCGCTTCGTGGCCCACCGCACCACCGCAGCCCTGGTTCGCTTCCTGGTGCCCAGTTGGTGGACCGGGCCTCCTCGGACCTCGGCCCAACTATCTGCCATAGCAGCAGCAGGCCTTCGTCACCAACGACTCCATGGGCCAGCCGGCCTAGGACCAGTCTGGTTTGATCTCTGCGATTAATAACATGTCGTTGCAGGGACCTTATAACAGTGGCTGGGTTGTTGACTCCGGTGCTTCCTCCCACATGGCCTCCTCTGATGGTATACTCCATTCCTCTCAAAACCCCTCCCACCCCACCACAGTCACAGTTGGAAATGGCTCGTCTGTACCTGTTACTCGTGTTGGGCGCACCTCTCTACACTCCTTTAAACTAGATAATATTCTTGTTGTTCCTTCCATTGTTACAAATTTACTCTCTGTTCGTCGCTTTACTCGTGACAACTTTGTCTCCATCAAGTTTGACCCTTTTGGTTTCTCTATTAAGGACCTATGGACGGGGACCGTGAGACTTCGCTTCAATAGCTCCGGCGATCTCTACACCATTCCTCCTGCCGTCGCCACTCGATTCCATCCCAACGTCGTCCCCACCAGTCCACGTGCCCTCCTCGCCACCGCCCCTTCAGTCGACCTTTGGCATCGTCGCTTGGGCCACCCTGGACGCGATGTTCTTCAGCACCTGCAGAAGCGTTCTTTTATTTCCTACAATAAAAATAGTACACATTCTTGTCATGCGTGTCAGCTAGGCAAACATGTTCGGCTTCCGTTTGGTTGTTCTCGTACTATTACAACTGCTCCCTTTCAAATACTACATTGTGATTTGTGGACATCACCTTTATTAAGTAATTCTGGTTTCCGTTACTATCTTATTATTGTTGATGACTACTCTCACTTTTACTGGACGTTTCCTTTGAAGCAAAAGTCTGACGTTTTTCCCATTTTTCAGTCTTTTGTCTCGTATGTCCATACTCAATTTCATCTCCCACTGCAGTGTTTTCAGACCGACAACGGCCGTGAGTTTCTCAACTCCGCCATTTTGTCCTTCTTCGACAGCCATGGCATCATTCTCCGCACCACCTGTCCCTACACCTCCCAACAGAATGGTAAGGCTGAACGTTCTATCCGTTCTACCAATGACATCATTCGCTGTCTTCTGTTTCAGGCCCATATGCCCGGCTCCTATTGGGCCGAGGCTCTCTCCGCTGCAACCTACCTTCTCAATCGTCGTCCATGTCAACCCATTCAGTTCGCCACACCCTTTGAGCGCCTGTTCGGTATTTCACCCTCCCTAGACCATCTTAGAGTCTTTTGTTGCTTGTGTTACCCTAACTTATCCGCCACAGCACCACACAAACTTGCCCCTCGCTCCACATCTTGTGTTTTTCTCGGGTATCCTCATTCCCAAAAGGGGTACCGGTGTCTCGACCTCACCACAAAAAGGGTTCTTGTTTCACGACATGTTTATTTCGATGAAACGATTTTTCCTTTCTCTACTGCTGCAGCACCATCGAAGTCTTCTTCACTAGACATGGACTTGTCCTTCCAGGATGATGCACCTGGACAAGGTGTTGGGCCAGCTGCAGCCCACGGACAGGGTGCCCCTGCTGGAGGGCCACCCTCCCCACGCCCGGGTCCTGGTGCACGTGCTCCTGACCACGGGCCGGCCTCGCCACCATCGACTCCACGGCCTGCTTCACCATCCGCTGGGCTGGCCTCGCCACCGACTCCACGGCCCGCTGGGCCGACGCTGCCTGGCTCGCCTCCAGATGGGCCATTCTCGTCCACTGGGCCGGTTGGTGCGACCTCTCCATCAGCTGGGCGGATCGCTGCCGCCAGTCCACCACCAGCGGGCGATGACGCGCCATCGTCGTCCGCATCTACGTGCCATCCTCCAGGGGCGCCGTCCGAGAGCGGCGCTCTCCCACGGCCTGCTCCTGGCCCTCATCCGATGGTGACTCGTGCGAAGGTGGGGGTGGTCAAACCAATTGACTGCCTCAATCTCTCGACCGTCCACAAAGACGCCGCTCCGCTCCCGAAGACGTACCGCACCGCCTTGCAAGCTCCATGCAATGCGTGACGAATATGAGGCGCTGGTTCACAACAACACATGGACCCTGGTTCCTCGTCTCCCTGGGGTCAATATCGTCACCGGTAAATGGGTCTTCAAACACAAATTTCATGCAGATGGCTCCCTCGCTCAGCACAAGGCGCGTTGGGTGGTTCGCGGGTACTCGCAGCAGCCCGGCATCGACTATGATGAGACTTTTAGTCCTGTCGTCAAGCTGGCTACAATCCGAGTCGTCCTCAGCCTCGCCATCTCCCGCGGGTGGCCCATTCACCAACTCGACGTGAAGAATGCCTTCCTCCATGGCAATTTGGAGGAGACGGTCTACTGTCAACAACCGTCTGGCTTCATCGACCCCGTCCACCCCGACTACGTCTGCCACCTCCACAAGTCATTGTACGGCCTCAAGCAGGCCCCTCGTGCGTGGTATCAACGCTTCGCCAGCTACATTCGCACACTTGGCTTCACTCCATCGGCCTCGGACACATCCCTATTCATCTACATGAACGGGGCTGACATGGCGTATCTCCTCCTCTACGTCGACGACATCATCCTCACTGCCTCCTCGACACGGCTACTTCACCACCTCACTGGTCGTCTCCATGACGAGTTCGCCATGATGGATCTTGGGGATCTCTACCACTTCCTCGGCATCTCCGTCCAGCGCACCCCCAACGGCCTTCATCTGTCTCAGCGACAGTACGCCGTCGACCTTCTCCAGCGGGCTGGCATGGCCGAGTGCCATCCCACGGCCACCCCGGTGGATACCCAAGGCCAAGCTCTCGGCTTCTGATGGAGAACCTCTCCGTGATCCAACGGAGTACCGAAGCCTCGCCGGGGCTTTGCAGTACCTCACTCTCACCCGGCCCGACCTCGCCTACGCCGTCCAGCAAGTGTGCCTACACATGCACTCTCCGCGTGACGCTCACTTGGCCTTGGTCAAGCGCATCTTGCGCTATGTCAAGGGGTCACTGGATCAAGGGCTCTTTCTCCATGCTACCACGGCATCGACGCTCACAGCCTACAGCGACGCCGATTGGGCTGGTTGCCCTGACTCGCGCCGCTCAACATCAGGTTATTGTGTCTTCCTCGGTGATAATCTTGTCTCTTGGTCCTCCAAGCGGCAAGCCATGGTCTCCTGCTCCAGTGCCGAAGCGGAGTATCGTGCTGTCGCTCATGCTGTCGCTGAGTGTTGTTGGCTTCGCAAGCTTTTGGATGAACTCTGCACCCCTCTCCGCTCTGCGACAGTGGTCTTCTGCGACAACGTCAGTGCCGTCTATCTCTCCGCCAACCCTGTTCAACATAAACGTACGAAGCACATTGAGATCGACATCCACTTTGTTCGTGAGAAAGTTGCTCTTGGCCTTGTTCGTGTCCTTCATATGCCGTCGTCTCATCAGTTCGCCGACATCATGACAAAGGGACTACCAGTTCAGCTTTTTCAGGATTTTCGGTCCAGTCTCTGCGTACGGGAACCTCACGTCTCGACTGCGGGGGGTGTCAAAGATAGCATAGTATCTTCTATATTTGGTGATTGAGACACGTATAGAAAGTCCTCTATCACCTTCCTTTTTATGTAATTACATTCCATTCATGTAATCCTGGAATATATTTAATTGAAGATAGCCAGCATGATTGTGCTTGAGTTGTGCCAAATCCTCTCCCTGTTTGCTGTTCATACCACATCCGCATGACAAAATCCGCATCCGCATCCGGCCGGATATCTAAAAACCCTTGCCAAATCCTCACATCGGACGGATTCGGAGCGGATCGGATCGGATAACATCCGCTCCGTTTTCACCCCTAGTGGAGGAGGATAAATTGTCTAGTTTCATCAGATGATGACACCTCTATATCGGTTAGCTCGTAACTCCTGGTTTTGGACAGCCTAGCCTAGTAAGGTAGCCAACCGTAATCTAACACACCGACGGATGCAGATGCAGCACCACGAAGCAACACCCAGCTCCTCCTCTCGACATCGTCGGCTCAGGCTTCAAACCCATGATACTTGTCCCCTCTCCTCTCGACTTTCCAAGGGTACGCCGCAGGCCCAGCATCGCCGCGTCCACGGCACGATGCACCGGTGGCGCTCCCTTTCCCTCTTCACCGCTGCCATCCTGTAGCTGGCCACCTGCTCGGTGCACGCGATGTACGACCAGCGTCCAACACCTTGTGCGATCACGCTCAGTTCCTCCTCGGCTCTCATTTCACTTGCTTCTTGGCTCCTCGCCTCGTTGGCTTGATATATATTTCCCGAGATATTGAGTTGCTGTATGGTACCAATCTGATGCTGAGTAGACAGTGAGAGGAGGGATGCAGACCGCCAGGGAAGGAATGCGCCGGAGTGAAGTTCGCCAGATCGCTTGGCAGTGGCTGGGTCAAAGGGATTGATGTGTGGCACTGTGGCTATGGAAGGGGAGGGATGGATTAGCCGTGAGGATATGGTTGGCTTCAAAATTACGTTTTTCAAAATAAATCTCACCTCATATAATACATATTTGGGCATATAAACTATCTTAAATTTAAATGTTGTCAGTTTTAAAGTTATAGATCTCATACATTCATATAGGCTATCTTAGATTGTTTAAAAATTTCAAAAATTTAAATTTTTCCTTATCCGTGGCGGTTCGTAACAACAATCATTCACAGATAACATTATTTGTGATGGGTGGTAATTAAGACCCATCACGGATGAGTGCTCTCATTTTTTACGAATCATCTCACTACACCCGTTACGGATGACTTGTTATACATGACGGAGCATGGTTGTGACCCATCAAATGTTATCCGAGACGTGTTAGACTAGGATCCAACAAAGTTGACATTCTATCAGTGATGGGTCATCTGCTGTAGTCATTAATCCGACATGGATAGTTCATCAGGAATAATGTGTAGATCTGTACTAGGGAGGTAAGTTGTTGGCCCTGTTTATTCCATCACGTGTTGTGTGACAGTGCACCAGTGCGAGTGCCGACTGCATCCCCAAGTTTCGGTGGTCCGCGTCATGCGCCGTTCCGGCCAAACACCGCAGAGCAGCACGTTTAATCTAATTAATTTCACTGTCACATTAACGATCTACAGCAGCTTCCTTGGTGCCTAATCACGCCGCGAAATTATTACTTCCTGTGCATTATAGATTCTCCCATGCTTTAATTTGCATCCCGCCAGTTTTTGTTGGTTAGCAACTCGGCGAGTAACCGTTCCAAGTCGCTCTCCACAGTGCTGCGCCATTTACTGTTACACACATATTTATATCGTGCAAACGCGGCGCCCTGTACAGTGGCGAAGAAGAGCCCGGAATCATCATGGCTAGTCACGTCTTGTTGATCCGGCAAGACATCGCGACGCCGTGGTGGTTCATCTTGCGGGCCTTCGTCGGCGCCGCCTACGTCGGCTTCGTCGCGCTCCGTCTCCTGGCCTACCTCTGGCTCTGCCTCCCCCGCATGCCCAAGGGCGACCTCCGCCGCCGGTACGGCGAGTGGGCCGTCGTCACCGGGCCAACGTCCGGTATCGGCCGTGCCATGGCGCTGGAGCTCGCGCGTCACGGCCTCAATCTCGTGCTCGTCGGCCGTGACCCGGCCATCCTCCGGCAGATCTCCGACACGATCGCGTCTCTGTCGGAGTTGATCGTGGTGAACAATGCAGGCGTGGCGGAGCCCGGCGCGGTGTACCTGCACGAGGCGGACGTGGAGGCGTGGGCGAGGATGGTGCGGGTGAATGTGTCAGCAGTGACAGAGGTGACGGCAGCGGTGTTGCCGGGGATGGTGGCGCGGGGCAGGGGAGGCGCTGTCGTCAACATCGGCTCAGCGGCGTCAGAGTCCATCCCGTCCTTACCCCTATACACCATGTACTCCTCCACCAAACGGTACGTACCCACGACAACAGCTTCTAAAATAAACAACATAGTACGAGATATAACAAATTTTATATTATACAAATTTATTGTTTTATTAGTACTATGTTGAGTAATTTTAGAACAAAGTGAGTAGTAAACAAAGTGACATGAAACAACTTACGACACCATATTTATATCAGTACACACAACGTCATACATATGCATGAGAATGCACCACTACAAAAATGTTCATAAGGATCGGCCATATAGGTAAAAATCGGCACCTATACTGTATTTCCCACCAACCTCTACAAGAACCGATACCTATAAAACTATATAGACATCGAACCGATGTCTATAAGATCGTATAGATATTCTGTAGACCGGCTTATTTTTTTACAGTATTATAGGTGCCCGTTATAATCTAAAAACCGACACCTTCGTAAATTAAGGTGTCGGTTATAAACACAAAACCGACACCTATGAAGTATTATAGGTGTTGGTTTTGGTACAGAATCGGCACCTATATGCTTGCGAGGGCAGCACTTTCTCTATTATAGGTGCCGATTCTTTATCGAAACCGGCACCTACAATATCACATAGGCGCCAGTTTGGAAACCGATACCACCGACTTTGATCATTAGTGTTGACTAATAGGTGCCGGCATCAAAACCATTACCTATTAGGTCTTCCCAACCGTTACATATATGGTTTTCTGTACTAGTGGTGACCGGCTGGTTCGTTTCTAGCAGGTACGTGGCTCAGTTCTCCCGGAGCCTTCACGTCGAGTATGCAAGTAAAGGGATCCATGTGCAATGCCAGGTAACTTAATTCATCAGAAATATAATTCGTAACTTTCAGTTGAATCATTTACTCATTGACAGATTCTGATAAAATCTGGAAAGTATGTGCATGCAAATAGGGAATCAAATAGGAGTATGTATGGCTCTTATGTATGTGCATGCATGCAGGCACCGTTCCTCGTGGACACGAGGCTGATGTTCAGGTTCGAGGAGGCGGCGGGCGGCGTGTCGCTGTTCACGGTGACCCCGGACGCGTACGCGCGCGCGGCGGTGGCGTGGATCGGCCGCGGCGGCGCGCTCTGCACGCCGGGCGTCCGGCACCAGCTGCTGCGGCGCATGGCCGCCGCCGTTCCGGACTCCGTCCACGACTGGATCCTCCTGCACTTAACCACCTGGAACAGAAAGCGTCGTTTCAGCGGATCAGAGTGACAAGTTCTATCGACAGATTATGCGATGCTAAAGAATTGCCAACAAATAAATGTGTCTTCGAAAAGTACACTTGCCGATATATTGTTTGTTGCCCATTTTATTCACACTAGGAAGGTGGCCCGCGCGCATACGCGGGCACTTATATTATTGCAAGCTAAGATTATTGTTTGTTCAAAATTTTCATCTAATAGATTAAGGGCAAACTAAAGTTTGGATAATGTTATTTCATAATAATTTAAGGGTTCTATTTTGCTTAAGATATCTTAGAAAACCATTCACAAAATTTTGAGTAGGAGATACATTAAGTACTTACGACTTTTGAATCATGTTTTTTTTCGAGTAAATAAAAAACTATTGTGACTTTTGAATCATGTTTAACTCAAAATTCTTGTGATTAAATCGTCTCATGAAGACGCATGATATAGTTAGAAAGGGAGGGAAGCGTATGTATGGAAAAAAAAGAAGAAAGGGAAAAATGAAAAAAGGGAGGGAAAGCGCACGTACCCACGTATGTAGGTGCGTACCTATGCCGCGTATGTAGGTGCGTACCCACGTAGGACCTCGTAGTATTTAGTTTGTTCCAAGATCAATTTAATCTAATAGTTTATAATATTGAACGTACCGATTTAAGTGAAAATTAAATAATAGATACTTTGCTTTTTTTTTTAGAATTTATAGTACTTTCTCTAATTTATTAGAGCACCATGTGGTAGCTTGAGAGCATTTTAAGAAAATTTAAAGGACTTAACACATGTAATTAGAATATTAACCATGTAATATATATGTATGGGGCATATGGTAATATTTGTCCAGCTTCGTCCATGTTTATATAAATAATTAACTATGTGTCTAATTAATAGTAATTAATTTTGACACCTATTTACAATTGTTCATAGTAGCTCTTACATATTCATCTTACGACTTTGATTATCGGTTGATCCCCAATTTACTGATCACCATGACTCGCATGAAAAAAAAGTGCTACTTAGGTTTTAGGACAGCTGAAATTGATGAATTATCTTATTTGCGTGGTAGCTATTTGAGGGTATAAACGAATGAATTGGCTTCTAAAAAGTTAAATTGTCGTTTAAAAAGACACCATTTATAAACTTGGAAAGTGTGCAAACTAAAATCCAAACTATAGAATCGGGAAAAAAGAGAATCTTAAACTCCCTTATAACACCCTTGTCTTAGTAAGAGTTCTATTGTTATTCGTTAATATTGTGCTCACATTTATAACATAATAATTTCTTTCACCTATACGAACAAATAGTACAAAATCCAAATACGACATAACACAATACATTATAATTATTCTATAACCAACTCTCGTTTTTAGCTTAAACAGAGCTAAGTGTTGGAAAAAACATAACCCACGGTGCTTAATTCTTCTCTCGTTGCATCACACCTTTAATTTTCTTTTTATGTTATTAACAAAATTAATCATCTCCATATATGATTTGATATGTGGCAAAGCAATAGCGTTGCAGCGGTCGTGATCACCTTAGATGCCTCACACACAACGCTTGTCACGTGTGCGAAAGGCAAAGGTGCAGACGTGCATTGTGCAGCGGGCCAAAAAGAGAACTTCGGACACTTTATTTATTTGCAAATAATAGATCCGATGATTTAAATGATGGGTCATCGGTTCTAGTATAAGTGTAAATTAGTTAATATAGATTTTAAATTACTAATTTAACAGGTACACAATATAATGGTGTAGACTTTATTTTGAAACAGTGTATTATTTGAGAATAAGAGTCCAATGTAATAAAAAATAGATACGATGTTTTAAATAATGGGTCCATCGGTTTAAGTGCACGTATATAGATTTTAAATTGTTTATTTGATAGGTGCACAATATAATTGTGTAAACTTTATTTTAAAATAGTGTATTATTTTAAAATAATAGTACAAAGTAAGTAATGAGTACACCGGTTTAAGTGGAAATGTTGGCAAAAGTGGGTCATGATTTAGTGGACGACGTCTGCATAGGATCACACCAACACCAGTCTGCCGCCGTGAACCGTTTGGGCCGAGAGCTATACTACTATAGAATGGATTTTTCTGTACAAGAGCGCCTATAGGTTTCAGACGGATGGTAACTTAGTCTTGCCTGCAATAATCACTTTTTCAATTGCAGTTAAAAACAGCATGCGAAAATGCATTTTAACTGATGGACCCCTTAACATATCTGCACGTGAAAATTGATAACTCTCTATTGTGCATTAATTTGCTCAGTACTTTTATTATATCTCATTAGTATATGGCCTATAGGTGGTTTTAGCCATCGTTGTCAAACTAACGTACCGATTAATTAACTAGCTTTCAGCTTGGTTAATGGTTTGATACTTTGAAGAACCGAAATCTATTTTATGGTTAGTATTGTTGGCAATTTTTTATGATAAGTCGACAAGCACGATCGTAGCACCTAAACGCCTTGCGGTGATATAGAGTCGCCAACCACCTTGATCTAGCCAAAAGGCCAAATCAAGATGGGTTTTGTAGAAAAAACAACTAAACCGGCTAGCGGAGCCGATTTAGAGTAGGCTGATTTTGATCGATAAGAGGATAACTACCCGTCTCGTGGGTAAAACGGAAGGTTTTCAGGACAAACCTACATAAAGGTGTCGCACTCTCGCAGCAGCGGCGGACGATTTACGGTGCAAATCGACAAAGATGGGCTAAAACTATGGTAAAATAGAAAACATTGCTGAAAAGTAAAGATAAAAGAAAAATAGAAAACTGCGGTCAGACCGGCCCTACTAGTCGGCCAGACCGCCCACATACCTGTGGTCTGACCGGCCCTGTGAAGGAAACCCGGCACTTTCCAAACTTTGACAATTTTCCCCTATTTCGTCCATAGATGCCAAATTTGGGTGTAAACAAGTATTTCCAAGAAAACTAACGAAATGAACTGATAATCACCATTGGCTACTCCATCCAGTTCAAAATATAAGACATATTTATGTTTAGTTATGACACTCTTGATAATTGCTACACTGGAATATTATTAGTTATGTAATATAAAGTGAGTATATAAGAAATTATCGCAAGTTTTTTTAGTGCAAAACTATTAGATATAACTATAGTATAATTACATTGTAACTGTATTGTAAATACATTTTAATTATGATATAACTTATATAAAACTTATATTTAAGTATGGTTTGGTTGGCTCGCATCGGGATTTTACGCGTGTTATGTGTGAAAATTTCTTTCTAGTAATCTTTTCCCTTTATGCACAAATCTCAAGGCGATCCTATGACCACAAATCTAAAACTTTTAGAGAAAAAACTTGCGAAATTTTTTTAAGCAATTCCGAATATAAAAGCATATTCATAAGGAAGTAGTTTTGAATATGAATCTAATAAATGAAACTTTAAAACTATACTTTTCTGTGATCAAAGCCTCTGTTCTTGCTAACAACTTAGTTTTTGAGCCCTCCGCGACTGTTAGCTAGTTGTTGCCACATTATTGTTGCAACTTGGAACTAATTAGTTGGCGGGTAACCATTCCAAATCAACACATTTACACATATATCGCCCATATACGTCCACGTCAACACATTTACACATTAACGAACAAAACCTAGCTCTACCCACAGATACGCGCGCACAACTATGTGCAAATGACGCCGAAGAGAGCTGTGCATTGCGGTCGGATCAAATGATGGCTAGCCATTTCTACGGCATGTTCCGGCAAGACGACCCAGCGCCGGCGCCGGCGTGGTGGTTCCAGTCGCTGGCCTTCCTCGGCGCCGCCTACGTCGCCGGCGTCACGCTGCGCCTCCTCGCCTACGTCGCGATCTGCCTCGGCGGGCCCAAGGACCTCCGCCGGTACGGCGCGTGGGCCGTCATCACCGGGCCGACGTCCGGCATCGGCTGCGCCATGGCGCTGGAGCTCGCGCGCCGCGGCCTCAACCTCGTGCTCGTCGGCCGTGACCCCGCCAGGCTCCGGGAGATCTCCGGCACGATCCGCTCCCGCCACGGCCGGGTGCAGACCAAGGCCGTGGTGTTCGACCTGTCCCTCGCCTCGACCCCGGACGGCGACCAGCCGCTGCGGCGGCTGCGGGAGGCCGTGGCGGGGCTGGACGTCGGGGTGGTGGTGAACAACGCCAGCGAGGGGAGGCCCGGCGCGGTGTACCTCCACGAGGCGGACGTGGAGGAGTGGGTGAGGATGGCGCGGGTGAACGTGTCGGCGGTGACAGAGGTGACGGCGGCGGTGCTGCCCGGGATGGTGGAGCGGGGCAGGGGCGGCGCCGTCGTCAACCTCGGCTCAGCGGCGTCGGAGGCCATCCCGTCCTTCCCCCTCTACACCATGTACGCCTCCACCAAACGGTAAATACATGTCGTACATTCACCAAACACAAAATGACATATTACAACATGTACAATTCATGTTATATATACATGTGCGTGAGATGCAGGTACGTGGCTCAGTTCTCCCGGAGCCTTCACGTCGAGTATGCGAACAAAGGGATCCATGTGCAATGCCAGGTAACCAATTAAGTTTGAGTTTAGTGATCATTGTACACACAGATTCTGATGAAATCTGAAGAGAGAAAAAACAAATGTTACGGCCTGCTCGCGGCGACGTGTGTGCGATGTGCTTTAATTGTAGACGCCGTTCTTCGTGGAGACGACGATGTTGGCGAAGTTGGAGGAGGAGGTGGGGCTTAGCGTGTCGCCGTTGAAGGTGAGCACGGACACCTACGCGCGCGCGGCGGTGGCGTGGATCGGACGCGGCGGGCCGCTCTGCACGCCGGGTGGACTGCTGCACCAGCTGATGTGGTGCATCACCGCCGCCGTGCCGGAGTCCGTCCTCGACTGGATCGTCCTGCGCTTCACCACCTGGAACAGAGGACGGTAGCTGTTGCAGCCAGCGGAGCAGAGTGTCAAGGACGAGGGGCATGCAAGTTCAGAGAGCTGTGGTGGCTCGCTAAGTTACCATCCTGGCCGCTGTCGTTCGATTACCCTAACGGCGATCAGCCGTACGTCGTGACCACAAGTCGCGCCCGATGTGTGTATCTCGAGCGAGTCAGGGGTGGAGATTAGGTTTGTAAAAACTATGTCAAAATGTAATTTTACTTTCAAGTATTGATATGGAGTTATGGACAGTATGTAATCAACAACTTAATTAGCACTATTTAATCTATCGTGATAGATATGGAATTCAATGCAAGATACGCACTTTCATCAGTAGAATAGGAAGGGGCGATTTGGTAGCATCACGGTCGGGATGAGGAGGATTAAGCAGTGACGATTGGAAGAGATAGGAAGAGGCAGTGAGGTCTCTTCTTCCTTAGGGCAAGTTTTATAGTAGATGTGACTATTACATCTAATTTTATGTATAACATACATAATTATTGAGAGGTGATATGTATAATAGGTCACATCTACCACACAATCCCCAATATCTTTAACACTCTCATATGTTTATTGAAGTTTATGTAGGGGTTGCCCCTTGCATGAGAGGTGACTATTTCTCTCTCATCCTTCTTCTCTCCTCCACCTCACTATTTAGTCCTATGTGACATCTTGGGATTTGTGCTTGGATGCCCATAGTACTTGCCACTACTAGAAAACTTATTTTCGGCGTCGTAGGGGATCGATTTTCGCAGGCAGGCATGTAATTCGGAGCCAAAACCCCGCCGGCAAAAAAGATACCCGGGGTGGAGGGGGCGGTCCGCCTGCGAAGATTGATCTTTGCAGGCGACATATAAGCGTCGCCTGCGAAGATCGATCTTCGCAAGCGGCAGACGTCGTGCGCCTGCGAAGATCGATCTTCGCACGCGACGTTTATATGGTCCGCCTGCGAAGATCAATCTTCGCAGGCGCCGCTTATATGGCCCGCCTGAAAAGATGCCCCTATATAGTCTTCTTCCTCCTCGAGCTCTGTTCATTCTCCCCGAAGTTTCTCTCTCCTAAAGTGACTTAAATATAGGAGGGAGGTTTTGAACTTCAAATCTTCGGGGGATTTTTCTACGGTACTTAGATCTACTTATTTCCACACTAGGTATGCAATTTTTTAAGCTTTTAGACCTTAATTTGTGATGGATTTATGCATGCAAAATTGTGAAGGAAGAGTTCCATGTTTTTTAATTTTATTTCTTTTGATATGTTGATATTAGATGTATGTCTAATACATGATGCCTCTTGTTGTAGTGGTTTAATGTGGTAACATAAATTCTCAATTTTTTTTATTTTTGCTATCACATCTACCTCCTTGTTCTAGATCTAGATTTAGATCTTGTCATATATAGAGAGAATAAAATTTTTAATGTCTATTTATTCGGTGCAATCAAAAAATAGTTATAGTATTTTGTAATATGCCAATGATATGATTTTGTTAGATTTTCCTAATGTACTAATTTGTCATGTCTGTGTAAAAAAAATTGAAATAAACTTTGATTTTTTATTAATTTACACTTAACCTTTAGTTAATTAGTTTTGAATAGCGATAAGTTTTTTCAATAAACCCTACAAATTTGGTATTAATTGTGCAAATATTTTACGTGTATTTTTTTAGAGATATGGAAAGTCGGGAATGGATGTATCATTGGCCGAGGTTTTTGTCTCCATATAGAAACGAAGTGTCTAAATTTATTGGTATTACCAAGGCACACGCTGAGAAGAACAATATGAGGAAGATAATTTGTCCATGTGCTGACTGTAAGAATGAAATAGCCTGGGACTTTGACGATGCTTTTAAAGTGAAGGAGCACTTGGTAACTCGTGGATTTATGGACAAGTACGAAATATGGACACGTCATGGCGAAGAACAAGTGGACGGGCCTTAAAATGTAGTTCTGACACAAGTTGAAGACATGGTGCATGACGATGGTTCTGTTGAGGACAAAATCGACCTAGAGGAAATGTTACGTCATGCAGAACCCGAGGTGCTGATGGGGTCGGCTAAAGGGTTAAATAACTTTGAAGCTTTACAAAAGGCAGCAAAGGAAGTTTTGTACGATGAGTCGAAGGGTTGTGACAGTGAGTTCACAACACTCCGGTCAGTTCTTGAACTTATGAGGTTAAAAGTGAGACATGGATGGTCTGATACCAGTTTCGACAGTCTGTTAGAACTTCTGCAGAAAATGCTCCCGAGGCCTAACTCACTACCATCGAGCACATATCAAGCAAAGAAACTCATATGCCCCCTTTCACTTGGTGTGGAAAAGATTCATGCGTGCGTAAATCACTGCATACTGTACAGGAAAGAGTACGCTTCTTTAGATGAATGTCCAACATGCAGTGCAAGCCGGTACAAGTCGAATAGCAATACTGGCCTAGAACCCTCTGAAGCAACTGAGGGACGACAGAGAAAAATCCCGCAGCTTGTGATGTGGTACCTTCCTGTCAAAGACCGCATTAAACAGATATACTCAAACCCGCGAGATGTAGAACTAATGTGCTGGCATGAAGAAGGGCACAAGAAGGATGGGATGATTTGACACCCGGCAGATGCTCGTTAGTGGATAAATTTTGATGCTCAGTATAGAGAGTTTGCTAAAGACCCATGGAACATTAGATTTGCCCTGAGTACCGATGGAGTTAATCCTTTTAGAGACGTGAGCAGCTCACATAGTACTTGGCCAGTGCTTCTCACCATGTATAATCTTCCTACCTGGCTTTGTAGAAAGAGAAAATACGTACTACTCTGTATCCTCATACAGGGACCCCGTCAGCCTGGTATTGATATTGACGTATTTCTTGAACCATTGTTGGAAGATATGGCTGATTTATGGAAAGAGGGATTGAAAGTGTGGGACGAGTACTTAAGGGAATACTTCACAGTGAAGGCCATCATCTTCGTGACCATTAACGATTATCCAGCAATGTTTTCAGTTTCAGGTCAAATTAAAGGTAAAACAGGATGTGTGATCTGCTTGAATGGAACGTACTATAGGTATCTCCCGGGTTCCAACAAGCTTGTGTACATGTGGCACCGGCGGTTCCTACGCATAAATCACAAGTACCGCAAGATGAAGGCGGAGTTCGATGGTACTGAAGAGACTGATCCTGCACCAAAACCTACATCGGGAGAAAAGGTGTGTGCAATAACAGAGAAAATTGTTTGCGAGTTTGGAAAAATGACTAAGAAACCATCAAAGGGGACAAAGCGCAAGAAACCCGAGAAGAATACAAAACAAGGGGATAGTAAGAAGCAAGATGATAGTTCGAAGCCAGATGATAAACTCCCTCCCCCATTCAAGAAGCATTCCATATTTTTTAAGTACCTCCCGTACTGGAAAGATCTGAAGGTTCGGCATGCCATAGACGTCATGCATCTAGAGAAGAATGTGTTTGACAACATAGTTGGAACATTGTTGGACATGCCGAAAAAGACTAAAGATGGTCTGCAATCAAGGATAGACCTAGTCAAGATGGGAATCAGGGAAGAGTTACACCCTCAAGAAGGAGAAAAGAATGGCGAAGTATATCTTCCACCAGCCTGTTTCACACTGACACCTGAGGAGAAGAAGTCATTTTGCAACTCACTCCGTGATGTCAGAGTGCCCATAGGTTTCTCATCAAACATCAGTCGACTAGTTTCAATGAAAAATTTGTCGGTATCTGGTTATAATTCACACGACTGCCATGTCTTGCTCATCGTGTTTCTTGCAATTGCAATAAGGGCCATAAAACCGGAGCTTTTAAAGGTTGCTATCACAAGGTTGTGCTACTTTTTCAACGCAGTGTCACAGAAGGTCATTAGTCTCGAAGAGTTAGGAAATCTACGTACATTCGCACATGAGACACAATACCAACTTGAGATGTGTTTCTCTCCGTCATTTTTTGATATGATGGAGCACCTCATTGTTCACATAGTGCCGCAGATGGTTGCGCTTGGCCCATTGTACCTCCATCAAATGTGGTCATACGAGCGTTACATGGCGGTTCTAAAGGGTTACGTCCGAAATCGTGCACATCCAGAGGGATCAATGGTTGAGGGTTATAGTACTGAAGAGGTTGTCGAGTGTTGTATCGATTACCTCAAAGATGGATATGCAATTGGAGTACCTGTGCCCCAACACGAGGGCAGGTTGAGTGGCAGGGGAACGATAGGAAAGAAGAGATTCGTCACCCATGATCACAAATCATTCCAAGAAGCTCACTTCAGCGTGCTTCATCAGTTTGCTATCGTTGAGCCGTACATCAATCAACATATCGAACTAATACAAGCTAACAATAAGGGTCGCACCACCGAGTGGATAATGAAAGAACACAAGCGTCTCTTCATAGATTGGTTGCGAGACCTAGACTTACCTGAGGGACAAACTACCGATGAAATAACTATGAAGCGGTTGGCTTGTGATCCATCAACTACAGTAAATTCTTGGCAGGGATATGACATTAATGGATACTCGTTTAGCACAAGAGCCCAAGATAATAAGACCTGTACGCAAAACAGCGGTGTCCGTGTTTTCGCAATTGATGAAGCCGGGGAAAAACAATCATACTTCGGGTTTATTGAAGAAATATGGGAAATCGACTATGGGCACACAATGCAAATCCCTATATTTAAGTGCCAGTGGGTAAAATACCCGAACGGGGTCAATGTTGATAAGTTCGGTCTTACTGTTGTTGACCTGGCGAGTGTGGGTCACAAGGATGACCCTTGGGTACTCGCCAATCGCGTGGAACAAGTGTTTAATGTGAAGGACCCTTCAAATTTGAAGAAAGATATAGTGCTACCAGGGAAACAAAAGATATTGGGAGTGGATGGGGTTGAAGATGTCGAAGATTACAACCAATACGATAGTATGCCACTTTATAGTCAGTTTGTACAGAAGATTAAGAATGTCGAGACATCTACTCAAAAGACCGTGAAGCCTTACATACGCACGGACGGTGTGGGCAAAAATGTTAAAGGGTAATGATTGTTGAGTGGCATGTAAGCATCTAAGAAGTTAGTAGTTATATAATGGTGGTATGTAAGGTGATGTGTGATCATATCGCAAATTGACGAATAATTGTACTCAACATTTTGGTGGTATGTAATTAGTTTGTACTAATTTTTATGTGTAATTACCATTTGTAGTGTAAAAAATTTGTTAAAAAATTTAAATTAGTAATATTTGAAAAGTGTAATTATTTTTATGTGCAATTACAATTTTTACCATTTGTAGTGTAAAAAATTTGTTAAAAAATTTAAATTA